AAATTTCTATCGCCGGGTTTATCAAGGACTTTGCTGAGTTAGCAAGACCCTTGAATAACCTGACAAAGAAGGACATCAAGTGGGAATGGGGCCCTGATCAGCAGGAAGCCTTTGATGCGCTTAAGGATGCGTTCACTAAAGAACCTATATTGGTGAACTGGGATCCTGCACGACCTACGCGCATTGAGGTAGATGCTTCGGGCTTTGCCACTGGGGGAGTTCTACTGCAAAAGTGCGATGACGGGCTATGGCATCCAGTTGCCTATCGCTCCGAATCCATGTCAGAAGCAGAACGGAACTATGAGATCTATGATCGAGAAATGTTAGCCATCATTCGAGCCTTAGAAGATTGGCGTCACTTCTGTGAAGGGTTACCCATTGAGATCATTTCTGATCACAAAAATCTGGAATACTGGCGCACCGCTAGAGACCTCACGCGGCGACAGGCCAGATGGGCCCTTTGGCTTTCTCGATTCGATTTCACCCTCACCCACAAGCCAGGGAAAACAAACACTCAGGCTGATCCCCTCTCACGAATGTCCACGCATGCTGTATCAGATGCAGACGACAACGTGGGACAGATCATGCTCAAGCCTGAAAGGTTTGCCAAGCTGGCAGCAACGCACGTCTTCATAAGCCCCTTAGAAGCAAAGATCAAAGCATGCAGTAACCGCGAAGCCGAAGTCATCAAAGGCTTAGAGACCCTAAAGTCTATGGGTCCGCGGAAACTCAAGTCTGGTCTAGCTGAATGGGAAGAAGCCGATGGACTCATCTACTACCAGGGACGGCTATACGTGCCGAATGACATCGCCCTTCGAGCGGAAGTGATAAAGACATGTCACGACGCTCCGACGGCAGGTCACCCTGGAGAGATGGGAACACTGGAACTGGTATCATGGCACTATTGGTGGCCTGGTATGAGCCGCACGGTGGAAAAGTACGTTCAAGGATGCGATCGGTGTGCAAGGTCAAAGCCAGCCTATCACCCAAAGGCAACCCTGCAGCCTCACGACGTCCCAGAAGGACCCTGGCAAGTGGTTGGAGTCGATCTGATCACCGGATTCCCTAAATCCGAAGGGTTCGATGCCATCCTTACATATGTGGACTTGTACAGTAAACAAGTGCATGTCATTCCCACCCACACAACAGTAGATGCAAACGGGATCGCCGATCTTCATTACCGAGAGATCTTTAGACTTCACGGGATTCCTCGGAAATTTGTATCTGATCGGGGACCCCAGTTTGCAGCAAAGTTGATGCGACTCCTCTACCAGAAGCTTGGTATAGAAGCAGGAATAACCACGGCGTATCATCCACAGAGCAACGGACAGACGGAACGAGCCAATCAAGAGATTGAACAGTACCTACGGTTGTTCGTCTCTAAACGACAAAATGATTGGGCCAAACTTCTTCCCACAGCAGAGTTTGTGCTAAACTCACGTCTGCACTCTGCCCACCGTCAAACACCGTTTGAAGTACTGTATGGATACCGCCCTGACTTTACTATACCTGCCGGAAAACCATCGCCAATGCCAGCTCTAGACGAACGGCTTGAAAGGCTCAGGCAAGCACGGAGGGAAGCTGAGGCAGCATTGAGGCTCGATAAGGAAAAGCACAAAGCTCAGTATGAAGCCAACAAGAACAAACCCCATGAGTTCAACATCGGGGATAAA